TAAACCTCAAAAATAAGTAAGTAAATAAATCCCCCATCTGAGAATTCTGGCACTGGGCAGGACACTCGGCACAAAAGGGATCTCACCATTTTGTAAAATGGCCCTGCTGCATATGACTGCAGCAGCAAAGGGTATTCTCTATTATCAACTCAAAGTGCCACCTACAATAAACCAGTGTCCCCAGCCTAATTTGTCAAAACCTACCCAACTGCTTACTTAAGCTGATACCTCAGGCCAGACCAAAGGCAAACAAGAGAAGAAGCAAGAGCGACTGTTGGCTTGGGTTTTAAAAAGCAAGCTGCCAGTAAAAAAGGACATCTCCACTAGGATATTGCCTGTTGTTTGAGCAGAGGTTAAAAAGTGCTGCCACTGGTGACTGCCCATGATGAGGATCCCACTGACATGGTTGTCGTCCTGTCTGCCCTGTGTTGTTAAGACGGGTGTCTCCCAACTGCTCTATCAAGGGGAAGGCCAGACTGTGCTGCCTAGTCCACAAGAAGACCTGCACCACAGCTGCCTCCACATGGGTCAGCCTGGAAGACAAGGGAGCTCCGGATGTTAACAGGACCTGTAATCTACCAAGCGGGGAGGTAATGTTCCTCTTCCCAAGTCACACACCCAGGAATATCAATGCAAAATGGCCACTAATATTCTGAAATCAACTATACTTTAACAATGGCAACAACAAAAACTAGGTACAGAGTTACAGATTATTAGGAGGGAAAGAAAATTAGATTACTATTTCGCTTTAACCGCAACACTTGCCAAAAGAAAAATCAAACAATACCTACTTGGGCCTCTGTACTCATGAGTCCCACATCCAAGGCCTCAATCAACTACAGATCAAAAATCTGCATCTGTGCTCAACAACTGCCTTTTTTGAAGACAAACTCTCACTATGCAGTTCAACCTGGCCTTGAACTCACTTTGTAGCCCAGGCTGGCCTCAAACCCATGTCAATCTTCTTGCCTCAGCCTCCTGAATGCTGTGACTATGGGTATGCACAAATACTATTTTTTATCTTGTCATTATTCCCCCAACAATCCAGTTTAAGAATTATTTATATAGGCTGGGGATTTAGCTCAGTGGTATAAGTGCCTGCCTGGCAAGCCTGAGGTCATAAGTTTGATTCCTGGTACCAAAAAAAAAAAAGAATTATTTATATAACATTTACATTGAATTAAGGATAAGTAATCTACAAGTGATTTAAAGACTTCCAAAACTGCTTCCAGAAGTGGCAAGAATACTGGGATAAGTGAGTTCCAAAGGGGGTTTATCCTGAAAGCGACTCAAGGCAATTTTACCGTAACCAGTTCTGTCCAGGTGTGGCGGGCACACCTGTAATCCCAGCACTCGGGAGGTTGAGGCAGGAGAATCATTGCAAGTTTGAGGCCAGCCTGGGCTACAAAGTGAGCTCAAGATCAGCCTGGACTACATAGTGAGACCCTGACTCAAAAAAAAAAAAAAAAAAAAAAAAAAAACCCTAAAAGGAGAGAAAAAAAGTGCTCTAACAAATTCTCTAAATTTAAACAGTCATGATATTTTTCAAGCACGCTCATCTACATTCTCTAGCCCCTTTACCTGATCATTAAAAACAATCACCACAGCCAGGAGTAGTGATATATTTCTGTCATTTTGACATGCAAGAGGCTGAGGCAAGAGTTGTGGGTTCAAGGCCAGTTTGAATCACATAACAAAACCGTATCTCCAAACACACACACACACACACAGCAATGAAGATGAAACTTACCACCCAAACTATGATCTAGGAAAATTATTTTCCAAAGAAACTGGGGCGTCTAAAACAAATGGTTTAGTCAAGATGTCCATCGTAAATCTGAAATATGCCCAGGTACCAGGCAACAAAGACTACAAGTTCATTTCTTTCTTTCTTTCTATTTATTTATTTATTTATTAATTACAAGCTCATTTCAAAAGGACTTAAAGAACGCTGATGAGGTTCTCATTGGCAGTCTGGGCTCTGAGAAATGTAATGCACTGAAACTCATTTAACAAGCATGTTTAAATTCACAAGTTCAAAACAAAATGAAAGATGGGGCTAACTGATCACTTTCTGAGGATGACAGGAAACCAGATCATTATCTTAAAAACTGGGTTAAGTAAAAGGAAGAAATCAAATTATGTATTCCAGCTTTCTAATAGAAAGCAAGAGTGAATATCATCTTATAAAATTTTACTAGATGAAAAATTAAAAAGAAAATTAAAGACTTTAAGCCAGATGTGGTTGGCACACACCTGTAATTCCAGCACTCTAGGAGGTTAAACCAGGATCACAAATTAAAGTTCAGGCTGAGTAACTTAATGACCTAGCCAGAACCTGCCTCAAACAAGAGAAAGGAGTGGGCATGTAGCTCAGTGTGAAGGCACTGGGTCCAACTCCCAGTACCAACTGATCAATTTATCAAAAATTTAATATCACCATGTTTGACCCTTAATGAATTACTGTATCTGGACATTAAGTACCAACAGCTGCACAAAAAACTAACACACTAACACACTATGGGAATAACTTAACACTAGCAATAGTCTTGTCCAAGAGACTTAAGCTGAATGTCGCCACACCTTGGGATCTAGCTGTCAGTTTGTAGGAAACTCAGACACAGAGCACAGTGGACACACCATGGGATACAGACAGCTGAAAAGACAGGCCAAGGGTCAGAACATTGTATGGAAAGAAAAAGACCGAAGAGAAACACAGAGAAACTTAAAAGAGGACATGGTAGGTTTTTTTAACCAATAAGACTAAATTAATAGTGTTTGAAAGATGCACCCTTGATTGATGAATACCTTACAGAGCGGAAAGGAAGTGAGTGTCATAACAGCTGGGACAGAGAGGGCTGTGATGGCGATGGGCATGGACAGCAAGCACCTGAGTGCACATGCGGGGTGTTATAGGATGCTCACTTGACTCACATGATTCACTATGTAATACACTTGCACCATTTATGTCGCTGGTGTGCTTTTCTTGTGTTTTGTTTTGTTTCCTTTAGTGCTAGGCAATGAACAGAGTGGGGGATGCTCTACCACTGAGCTATATCTCCAATCCTTTGTATTTTTTTATTTTGAGACAGAGTTTCGCTAAATTGACCAGGCAGGCCTCAAACTTGTAAGTCTCCTGCCATCTTCCCTGAGTGTGCGACTACAGGCATGCATCACCACCTTCTTTGTGGTGGTTGTTTTTTTAAAGGAGGTCTGTAGTCAGGGACAGAACAAGATGAATTAAACCTGCCTCTTCAAAAGCAGCTAAGAAGCTGGATGCACTGGTGCATGTAATTCCAGCACTTGGGAGGCTGAGGCAAGAGGACTGCCTTGAGTTCAAGACCCTCCTGGGGTAGAGGGAGTTCAATGCCAACTTGGACTATACAGTGAGACCCTGTCTCAAAAAACCAAAAGAACAACCAAAGCAGCTAAGACTCTTGGGTTGAAGATTCTGGGATCAGGTCTAAATGAGGTTCCTTTCCCTTAGCAAAATGTATCTGAAGCCACTTAAATGATCCGTTTAGCAGGGCAAATTAAACAGAACAATCCCTTTTTAGAGCAGCATGTTTCTTTACTATGGCTTAGCTGCCAAAATTATGAGATCATAGGAGGAGTCACCTTTAACCAAAAGCCCGTGAAGAAAAGTGGGTAGATGTTCAGATATCGCAGTTATGTAAAACAATTTAATGAATAAAGCATTCCAAAAAATGTGTTTGTGCACAGATAAAAAGGAATATAAAAATAGTGTGACTCATCACACATGGTGATACACACTAATGATCCCAGTACTTAGTGAGGCTGAGGCAGGATAGCAAGTTAGTCTAGGCAAGTAGGGAGATCCTGTCTGCAAATAGAAAAATAAGGCGTTGGGGGTGCGATTCATCACAAATGTGCTAGGTTCGGGGCTGGGGATTTAGCTCAGTGGCATAAGCGCCTGCCTTGTAAGCAGGCAGTCGTGAGTTCAATCCCTAGTACCAATAAAAACGAAAAAGACAAAACAAACAAAAAAAAAAAAAAAAAACAAAAAAAACCCACAAATGTGCTAGGTTCAATCTCTGGTACCACCAAAAATTTCTCTTGGAGCTCTTACCATGTATAAAAATGTTTCAGCAGGGCTTCCCTGAAATCATGTTTTTGTGTAACTTTTACAACATCATTTGTTAAGTATTATAAACTAACCCAAACTGATAATTACCATTTTAAGGTTAAAGATCACAGACATGAGTAAGAAACATTGTATTAAACTGCACTCCTGAGCTGGGCATACTAGTGCCCACCTGTAGTTCCAGCTACTCAGGAGGCTGAGGCAGTATGTTCGAACACAGGTATTCGAGACCAGCCTGGGTAACATAGCAAGACACTGGCTGGAAAAAAAAAAGTATTCCAAGGTTTGCCTTCATATATAGTGTACTTATTGTACATTATATACTGTATAATACTTCATATATATTGTACTTATTGTACAATATATTATATACATATTGTATTTAGAATCTGAGAGAAGTTTTTGTTTATCTTCATAAAAAAAAAAAACCTTCATAAACAGTGTCCACTGTACAGAAAACATCTGACATTAGCTTGGAGATAATCACTTGCTAAAAGTTTTATTGTCTCAATACCTGTTACATATCCCATTTTATTTGCATAACCTTTAGCATCTTACTGCACTGTAACATCAAGTTTTTTTCTGTCCTTTTTGGGGTATAAGAAGGCATGCAGTCAAATAACATTCACAGAATTACTGGAAAGCCATTTTAATTTCCCTTCAATCTTTGCATAGAACAAAGATAAACTGTCAATAAGCATATACATTAACACAAAAGATCAAAGACAATATAGTACAATCTGTTCATAAAAGGGACTACAAAAGATTATCTATAGTTAAGCTTTAATGTAACTAAACCCTTGTATACACCAACAAGCTACACTGCTGGAGGGAGAAGAGAGGGCTGCGGGCAAGTTTCACTAGCCTGCATACACGCGATTCCCTGAGTGCTTACCATAACCGTGCAGTCTTCTGAACCACTAGCAATGACCTGATCATTGTGCGGGCACCAGTCTATATCCAGCACTGGTCCTGTGTGGCCACATACTGTAGGGTAGGATTTGTCAATTCGACCCGTCTGAAAGAAAAAACAAACAAACCTGTTAGCCCATTTCTCCTTTATGATCTCCTCTTAATACTCTCAATTGTCTATACAGGATGCCATTTATATGTCAACGTCACCTGGTAAGAACCATAAACTTTCATTTCTAGAAATAGCTTTTACCAAGAACACGCCATTAAATTCCAAGGATCCAAACTTGCATTAATAAACATAACAAAGAGAATCCATAAGTCTTTTTACCAAACTACAACTCCAAAACAGCTAAACCATAAATCATAGATAAGATTCTACTGAGGAGAAAAAGCTGAGCATGGTGGCGTGCATCTGTAATCCCAGCCCTCTGGAAGGCTGAAGCAGGAGGATTGCAAACTCAAGACCAGTCTTGGCAATTTTGCAATTTAGTTAGACCTTGCCTCAAAAAATGAAAGAAAGCTGGGTATAGTGGCACATGCCTATAGGCCCAGCACTTGGGAGACTGAGGCAGGAGGATCACCATGAGTTCGAGGCCAGCCTGATCTACAAAGCAAGACTTTGTCTTTAAAAAAAAAAAAAATTGAAGAAGGCTGGGGATAGAGCTCAGTATGAAAGTCCAGGGCTCAATCTTCAGTGGCGTATCCCTCAAAAAAGCCCTTTGGTATTAACTGAAATGTGGAATTTTAGCACCCACCTGGTAAGCGTGAGGTTGTGAATTTGATCCCTGGTACAAAAAAAAAAAAAAGAAAGAAACGTGGAATTTTTAGAAAAGCTTTAGGGTTAGGGGTTTAGCTCAGTGGCACAGGTGCCTGCCCAGGAGGCATGAGGTCATGAGTTCAATCCCCAGTACCAAAATAAATAAATATTAAAAGGCTTTAGCTACAGCTTAGGAGGTAACAGGCACTTTTTTGGGGGGAGGGGTAACCAGGAATCAAACTCACGCCCCAGGGCTTGCAGAGGTAAGTGCCATGCTGCTGAGCTATGTCCCCAGCCCAAAGGCACACATTTTTAATGTCTCAGTCTCTCCACTGTCTTCAACCAACAGCAATCTCTTCGGGAAGTTTAACAGTTCAGTCTTAACTGTTACACACATCTCATTAAGGATGAAGTTCAACATTGGTCATAATGACAATTTCCTCATGCTACACATTCAAACCTAACAGGCCAACCAAAGTTTTTTAGTTTGGTTTGGTTTTTAAAAGTTTTTCTGAGACACAGCCTCACTGTAATTCTGGCCTTGAACTCACTGCAGCCCAGGTTGGCCTTGAACTTTCAACAATCCTCCTGCCTCTGCCCACTGAGTGCTGAGATTACAGGCATGCCCCATAACACCTGGCTCAACCAAACTTACCACATCAACTTTAAGTCAACCAGCATAACCGCTGTAGTAACTGGTATATAAAATAGAAAAGTGATTATCTTTTCTTTAAAATACCCAAGATTGCATCCACTCTGAAAGCAGGTGCACAAAATGGAATCAGTGTACTGTGCAAATGAACCCAACTGTTGTTGCTGCTCTCCTGCTAAGGCAAGCTGTCCAAAACTGGGACAGGCTTCTTAGCAATTTTTAAAGACCAGTAAACCATGATTTCTCCAATTTGACTTGACGGTGGAAATAGCCACTGAAGTAACATGCTAAAATGCCAAGATCAGGGGCTGGGGATTTAGCTCAGTGGCATAAGTGCCTGCCTGGCAAGTGTGAGGTTGTGAGTTCAATCCTCGGTACCAAATAAATTAAATAAAATGCCACGATCTTAGGCTCTGGAGTCAGACAGGTTCAAATCCAGGCTCTAGGACTTAAACACACTTGTTGACCTTAGACAAATTGATTTATCTCTTTAAACTCCAGCTCACTGTTTGTAAAACAGGTAGTAATAATACTTAACTTCCAGAATTATGGTGAGCTTATATGAGAATGTGTTTGGGTAATTCATAACTCAGTATAATTGCCTGTGTGAAGTATGTAAAAAAGTTCATAGTATCTGAAATATATACTTAATAAAACATTGAGTTCTTCTTACATAACATTTATATTATTCCACCATTAAGAAATAATGAATACATATGACGTATGAACTCTTATGCGTCAGACACACTGCTGAATCCTGGAGACACAGATGTGAACAGTAACAGACATTTAAATAGCTATTTACAGGGCAGAGTGGGACATGACCCATTGGGACAGGCACAGGGGTAGAGAAACACAGAAGAGTATTGAGCCAGGCTTGCGGGGAATCATAAGTCTTAGGAAATTTTCTTCTGAGACTTGAAGATGGTCCTATTCACAGACCTAATAAGGCCTAGGCTTCTTCACATCTTCATCCTCTCCCTTCTAAATTCACTAAACCCAGGGGCTGAGGACGTAGCTCAGCAGTACAGCACTTGCCTAGCATGCTTACAGGCCTCCGTTTCATCCCCAGTATGGGAGACGAGGGACAGGACTATAAGGAAACACCAACTAACACCATATTATATACATTCTGAGAGTTATAAAAATAACTATTTGGATCATTAACAGGCAGCAAGCAAAGTACAAAAAGCTGAAAACCATACTGCCCAGGCTTTTCCATTTTCTTGCTGTATGTTTTTGGCCAAGTTACTACAGCTCACAAATTTAGTTCCAAATCTGTAATACCAGAATGTTAACAGTTCATTCTTTAAGAACTGATGTAGAGGGGCTCATTACCCTATAGTACTTTAATCAGCATTTGTGGGGCGTAAGCAGGAGAGTCCCAAGTCAAGGCCTGCCTAGGCTACAAGTTTAACGCAGCTTGGACTTCACAGTGAGTCTGTCTCAGAAAAACCAGAAGGAACTGATGTGAAGACTAAACGAGATAAAGTACTTAGTATCCCAGCACTTGAAGTGCTCAGCAAAGGTTACCCAAATTTACCAATCAGCGAAGTCCATTCTGCTATATCTCTGATCATGAAGAAAACAGTTATTAAGCATCTAAACCAGGCAGCTTGACCACATTCTCTTATGGCAGCCCCACAAAAGACACTATGAGACGACTGTCTGACTTGTACCCCAGTAATGTTCTTTTACATAAGCTAATATTAGGCAGCAGACTCACAGATGTTTGTTCTGTTTTATATAATTACTCAAAATTACAATGTAAACTACAGACATAGCTATTCTTTCCAGTGTGTGATATTTCATAATTTAAAAGGTTCCAAGAGTATAGTCTGGTGGGACATAGTGGTGCATGCCTGTAATCTCAGCACTCAGGAGGCTGATGCAGGAGGACTGCTTTGAGTTCGCGGCCAGCCTGGGATACAAAATGAGTTCAAGGCCAGCCTGAACTACATAGTGAGACCCTGTCTCAAAACCACAAAATAAATAAATAAAACAAATCTAGTATGACACTCAAACAAATATTCCTAGCTGGGTGTGGTGGTACACACCTGTAACCTTAGTACTCACAGAGGCAGAGGCACAAGAACTGCAAAGTCAGATCCTGCCTGGGAAACTTAGCAGATCCTGTTTTAAAGTTTAAAAAAAAAAACAAAGATTGGGGATTTAGCTCAGTGGTAGAGAACCTTTGGGTTCCATCTCTAGTACCAATAAGTAAAATAAATAAATTAAAATAAAATTTTAAAAATTTCTCCAGAACGAATAGAGACAAAGTTAAAAGAGATAATGGCTAAGAATTTTCTGGTTAAAGTACAGGCATAACAAATCCCAAGTATTACAAGTGAAAATTAATTTACATTCACATCTTCACACAATTTAAAACAGAGCAAAGACATAGCTCAGTACAAGGAGACTTAGGCCCTGGGCTCTACAATCTGACAGAATAATAGGCAGAGGTATGAACAGAGAATTTATAGGGAAGGAATTCTGAAAACCGACAGATGTATGAAAAGACAATCTTACTGGTAATTAGGGAACTGCAAATCAAAACAACAAGGTAACATTTTACATCAACCAAAACCAGCAAAGGGACATGTGTAGTTGTGTGCATTGTAGTGTCAGCACTTGGAAGGCTGAAGCAGGAGAACTGCTGGGAGTTTGAAGCCATAGTGTGTTCAAGCTCAGAATACATAGCCAGAACCGGTTTTAACAAATAAACAAGAAACAAAAGGGCTGGGAATGTAGCTCAGTGGTAGAACACTTAAACAGCACATACAAGGTCCTGAGTTCAATCTCCAGTTGGGGTGGGAGGGAAACGACTGGCAAAAATATAAAAATCTAAATATAAGTGCTGGCAAGAACATCAGGAAAGCTGGTCACAGTGGCACACATTTGCAGTCCCAGCACTGGGGAGGCTGAGGCAGGAGGATTGCTGTGAGCTGGAGGCCAGCCTGGGCTACATAAACAAGTTCAAAGCCAGCATGCACTACATAGTAAGACGCTGTCTTAAAAAAAAAAAAAAAAAAAAAAAAATCAGGAAACAGGGACTCAAAGTGTTCATAGGAAAATATTCCATTGCAATTCCTTTTATGAGCAATATGATAACAGGACAATGCCCACTCCAGCAATACAACTGTAGGAGTTATGGGCAAGAAAAGTGCTCATAAATTTTTCACAAGAATATTTATTACAGCATTGTTTTAAAAAGGGGTAAGAGTAGAACAGTTTCATTCTGCATCTGTATGGGAACAAACACTTGGACAAAGTTTCACATGCTGATCTTAAACACCACAAAAAAAAAAACCACACACAAAATAAAAGTATATGTCAGAGATACGTATGCAAATGACAAACATATGAAACTTTAAGGAAATAAGGCATGAAGAAAATAGTAGATATTTTAGCTACATCGTGTATTTTGTTTTTAAGAAAAGGAAGCCAAGAAACAAACAAAAATATTAACATCTGTTTAATTTTGTGGAGAACGTATTTTATTATTTTATTTGATGTTTCCTTCCTATTTTGAAAAAAACTGAAATATAATAAATTTGAGACATACCAATACACTGTTATTAACTTTATATTTTATATATTTCCCCCAGTTTTTGTATCTGAACTGTTCTATGAGGGACTTCGCATATTCAGAATCTCCCCTGAAACCATATTTGGCATCCTTGATGGTAAAATG